AAGATATTCGGCGCATACATACAGATATGTATGTAGGTGGTGGCAGGAAATTGGAAGTATTCATTCAGGCGAGAAGCTAGCAACACAGCAATAATGATAACTGTGATCGATAGTGCCTGACAGGATTGAATCACAACAGCTTTCCACCCGAAGTCGCGTGAGATGGAAGCAAAGCAAAGCCCATGAACACAGACGAGTAGCGTTTTTTGGCGGTTAAACCCAGTTAGATTATATTCCTTATCTAGAATACTATGCCCAAAGGGAGGATATAATCTTACTCTATATTGGGTACCATAGTATTCCCAAATAAGATACTACTCAGATGGGCTTAACTGCTACCGCTACTTCTTCGTCTCTTTCTGCCCTGAACTGAAATCCACTTCTCTGGACCAGAGGGGCCAGACAGGAACTGCTGGAAATAGTTCCCGATATCTTCCTGCAGTTTGCTGAATTTTGCACTTTGGTAGCAATCGATATAACCTTCTGTACTTACTCGCATTAGTGGTAGTATTTGTAGCAGAAGAAATAGTGGACATAGTAGAAGCAAGTAGAAAAAATAGTAGTAGCCGTACGAGGAGGGGTCCCTGAAAGCCTACTGAAATGGACCTTAGCTGGAGCTTCCAGTAACTCCTGGGAAGTAGCTACCATGTGATTGGTATGCAGGTCGAACAGCCACTATCAAAATCCTTTATTTCTGGGGACTCTTGGTGAAGCTCGTGTTGCGGAAGAGTTCTGAAAGCCTCCTGGCTCCTGTGAGGGGAGAGTTCTGTAAAGGAACAAGCCTCTTTCCCTGCGTCTTGAAAGATACTTCGCTACAGCTCTAATGATAACATGCAGGCACTTGATGATTGGTAGCTAGCTAGTTTCTCTTGAGCGGAGGATTGGGGGCATCCTGTTATGCTCTTTTTGCTGGCCTGGTGGGCTCAGATCAACCACAAACATTCAAACCGCACCAATAGCCAAACGCTTCTAACCCAAACCAACAAACCTAAACGCTTCTGAGGTCTTGCCAGTCCTGGGTCATCCAGCTGAGGCGGGCGGTACCGTTGATTCGTCGATACACCTGGGCAAGTTTGTCACACAGCCGGTATTGCAGAAGGTTGGGTTCAGACTTCCTAGAAGAGATGGGTCTTTGTTCCGGTCCCTTTGTCAGACTGCCACACATGTTTCGATGTACAAGGTTGGCTCACATATCTGGCAGACTCTGCTGTGTTTCTTTCAATAGGGGCCCTCAGTTCTCACAGAGCAAGAGACATTCCAGTTTTTCTCGAAATCCTGTCCAGACACACGAAAAGCTACCTGTGACTCCATGTACAAGGGTGTGCGGGGTTCTACCTACCAACAACTACTACAGTACTGCATGAAAACCACTGAACAGTGTCTAGCTGGAAAAGGTACCCTTGTTAAACCAGTATGATAAGCCATCAACCCGAAACCCTTGACCCTAAACCCTCAACCATAAAACTCAGACCCAAAACCCTACGCGCCAAGCCCTAAACCCTGGACCCGATGTTCAAGGCAGCTTGAAGAAAACCAGTGTTTTTGTTTAGCACAATGTACGGGAGCCTCAAGCGCAGCTTGAAAAGTAGCGGTAGCAAGCCCCTCCCGAAATAATGTGACTCCCCCCCCACCCCCCCACCCCCTTATCAATGCCCTCAATATCGCACCAGTAATTAAAAAAAGACAGTATGCTGAATATGTGATATTGGAGAGGTGCGGGGGCTTATCGGCGCGGGGGAGGGGATTAGCAGTCATAGGCTCTTGCAATAGCAGCTGTCCCACGAAAACGGCGCAGATTCATGCTGAGGCACTGCTGGCAGCTTCTTCTGAATTTGTGTGTCGACCAGCTCCTGGGGTGAGGAACTCAGAGGAAGGTGGATGGTTTCTGCACGAGCTTCACACAGGCTATTCACACATCCAGGTTGTATTGAAACATGCTTGGGTTCCTCTATGCCCTATGCTTGAAAATGTATCAAAACCCGTCTTGCCGAATATTCAATGCTTAAGCCTTCACAGCATTCCCACCACCAACATCTAAAGAAGATGGCAGCACCACAGCAGTTTTGGGATTGCACAGCCTGCCTGAGACTAGGAGATGTTAGGAAGATCAGTGGCTAAAACCACTGAACCCTGGATTGGCCCAAGAATCTGTGGTGCCCGTGAGGATCACCTGGGCTTGAAATGGGAAGTTGCTTTGTCGTGCATCTCCTGCTGTTTCAAAAGCTTTCAACGTAGAGGCAAGGGTGTAGGTGCAGGCTTGAGGGCTTGAAACTGATTTGAAACTGGTGTCTTTAAGGGTTCTCGAACCTCAAGCCAAACGCGAAGGTCCATTGCAAGGTATCGAACAGAGTGTGGGGGCAGCGAGCCCTTGGTCTGGCAGTTGAAACCTGTGCCTCAGCTATGAACCTCCAAGCCCGAATGGATGCAAATGTGAGATGCCTGCGTGTTTGACACCTGTGGGAAGTGTCAAGTACGGCTTAGCATAATCAGATCAAAACCCTCCTGTCCAAGAAATACAGCCGCACTGTACTTCCCTCAAGCATCAGATTAGCAGCTCGTGGTTCAAGGTTGAGGCTCAGAGTTCCGGTCTGTTATTGATCCAGAAGCCTTTCTGAAACGAAAGTGCTGAATTTCTGTAAGCAGGTGTACATAGCCCACTCCGCCGAGACCCACATAAAAGCAGAAAAGCGAGCTCAAACCCTAAAACCTAAACCCTAAACCCTAAACCCTAATCACTAAACCCTAAACCCTAACGCCCTAAACCCTAATCACTATTAATATTTCTACTGTCTTTATTGTCTTCCTGTCCCAAGAGGCCACGCCCTGCGACATCGAGGTCGAGCCTTGCAGCACTTCACCTCAGATTAGTAGGGATATTAGATGTCCCCATGGGTTTAGGGTTTAGGGTCTGTTACTACAAGGGATATATTAGTTGATAGGGATCTTAAGTATCCCTATTACTTGAAGGCATATACGGATATCATAAGGGAAATAGGCCTTAATAGGGATATTCAGTATACCTAGTACTTGGGTTGTAGTGGTATACTGGGAATATTTGAGGACCTTAATATAATTACCATTACCTCTTGTGGTCACTGTGGGGGGCCCAACCTAACCCATTATTAGAAGGGATATATGGATGTTACAAGGGAAATAGGGCCCCATAATGGAGCTGCAATTGGAGAAGAAAGTGGGAAAATTGCCCCATTAAACATACTCGTCACATGAGCCATAGTCTAAACTCCTGGCATCCCCCTTAATAGCCTCTAGAAAACTCTCCTATATAATCCCCTCTATAACCCCCTTTCAGCAGTTTAGACTATAGCTCACATGGCATACCATACGGTGCACAAGTAATGCGCGCCATGCCGGCTCTCACAGGAATCTGCCTGAGAGGTCTGAGATGAAGGCAGAAGCCGCCAGCTGTGACTCCATCAGCCTTGGATAAGGACCGATAACAAGAATAATCATACTCGTTTGAGAAGAAATACTGATATACTAATACTGGTATCATAACCATAGAGTATAATTACTAGTATACTGATACTATTCTCATAACAATATAGTAGTAATCTACTAGTTGTTTTGTGTAAGCAAGGCTTCGGACAAGAATGTCCGACTACAAAATCTTCTTGGAAGGGAAGACATCTACACGGCGAGGACAGCCTGAAGAAGCCCCTTGTCCTACAGCAGCTTGCAATAGCCTTCATTGGCACGATCTAGCAAAAAGAATTCCCCATTGGTACCCCGTATTCCAAGGTATTTGATAAGGGATCACGCAGCAGCTCAGGCTGATGGAGTCAAGGAGCTGAGCTTTGGCATCCCATCATAGGGGACGATCCCTCTTCAGTGTGCCACAGGGGTCATGACGGGAATTGTGAGATGTGAGATATCTACGCCTCACGCATCCCTGATCACACATGTTCCCCAAGACCTTTGAATCAGAAGTCCCACCGCTGAGGCACAGACAAGCACCAACATTTTGACCTCTGATAAAAAAAACAGAAAGGACTGTTGTGGCGTGTGTAAGACAGCTATTTTTAGAGAGATCTTTGTCCACAACGAAGA